GAAGATTTTATCCCTGAATACTCAATAAATCGGAAACAAAAAAATATTTGTCTTAAAGAGGAGGAAAAGCTGCATCGAATGACACACGAGTTGCTCGCCGACTGATGTTCTTTGAGATTTGACTTGGTCAAATGTGAAGTAGTGCTTGAAGAAATGATACCGAAAACACTGGGGAGCAAGCTGTGAAAGAGTGCTCTATCCAAATTTCACCTGGACTTCTTCGGAGAATCAGTGCAGAGATTTAGAAAAACAGCGAGACTTGACGATGGCAAAAATATAAGTCGCAAATTTTTATAATTTACCAAGAACTCCTCGACTATGCTGCAATGAGTTTACAGCTATTGGAAAAAAGTGAAATGCTGCATCGAATGCTGCCAAGATTTCTTAAATTCTTTTGCCCACGAGATGTGGCGTTTACTTGGAAGAAGCGACATTACCTTGCTCAAAAGCTTGCACCTTCTGCTAAACATCTTTGGAAAACTTGCCAAGCTTCGGTATTTGGGCTGTAGGTGCACCTTATGCCCTATGATGTGCAGTGCAACCAGCCATCAAACTTCAAAAAAGGATTTGCTGAGCAAGTTTGCTTGGACGATTAATGACCGCAAAAATTGGATAAATCGTTAGATAGTCGAAAAGTAATCGGCTGATTTATGCTTCTTTGAAAAGGCTTTAGTGATTAAACTTTTTTCGGTGGTTTGCTAATGTGAGAGAAAAAGCAAATAGCATACTTCAAATTACCATTAACTTAACTTAAATTCAGAGCACCTTTCAGCTCAAAATTGGCATCAGCGGCTTGGACAGACCTCAAACTTGATTAAAACCCTATTTCAAAAAGACGAGCGCTGGTCTGATGTTCGCAGAGCATCACTGGAAAGACGGAGGCGCTACTGATACGAAAAAGTCTATGCATTACTTTTAGGAAACGTTCGATTTGCCAAGGGGAATTCTCAGTTGTGAAATTGCACAAACTCTTCCGTAGCAGCAGTGCCTCCTTGTCTCCAGCTGAAGCTCTGCGAGCTTCAGAACAGTGCTCGTCTTTTTGAAACTAGAGTTTCATTTAATCAGACCCCTGAGCCCAATTTTTGAGCTGAAAGGTGGAATCTAGTGGTGGATTTTGAAACATGCCAAGTAATGCTTTTTCTGTCACATGCGCAAACCACCATTCAACGTCCAAACACTACAATCTTTCCAAAGAGTAGACAAATTAATCAAGTTGTTCTCGGCAATCTACCGTTTTAATTTTTACGGTCTTCGTCGTTCAAGCAAATTTGCTCCGTAAGATCGCCTTTTTTGAAGATTTGATGAATGCTTGCATTGATATTTTAAGTCTTAATGGTGCATTTGTAGCACAAATACTGGAATGTGACAAGTTCCTTAAAAACGTTTAACAGAAAGTGGCTGCAAGTTTCTCACCAACTTCGATGTTCCGCCATTCTTTTCTAGGGCCCTTTCTGTGTGCATGAAACTGCGCAGATTTTTGCAAAGTTTAAAGCAGTGTAATTTACCCGCAACATCAAAATTTGGGTTTGTCATACGCAAATAAGTTACATCAAAATTTTAGGGTGGCTGCAAACTTCTGGCCAACACGAGTATAGTGACAGAATATCGCGACACTAACATTTGCCAAGAGTCTGCAGGCCGTGTCAGGCCTGCAGACTATCTCGGAGCTGGAATGTTAACTGTATTTGTAACCATATAGTTTTTGTACCAAATTTGTTTGTATGTAGTTTTCCCAGTAAAGGTTATCGGGCGTCGTACTTTTGACGCCCCCTGTAGTGCAAAGCAGCAAATTATTTTTTCCCGCCTTCTTCAAAAATTTTCCGTCAGCAATCCCCAATCATCAAGCAGCTGCAAGTTAAATTGAATTAATAGCTGTTTGAGCCGCAGTTATTACATCTCGCTCTTTTCTTCACTATGCTCCCAGTATCTTGATTAGCTATGTTATAAAACGACTCACATGATAAAGTTACAAATCCGAGCAATCTTACAAGTGGGGCGTTACCTAGTCGAAGCACCTTTTTTGGTTTGTTGGCCACTTCTCGCGCCTATAAGTTGATTAAAAAGAATTGCAACGTATAAGTGATATATCAGTGTTAGGCATCAACTCCTGCTACCTCATGCCCAATTACGTTTACCACATCTTTGAAGTATGATGATGTCCGTCCTTACCGATTTCGCATTGTCGAACATACGTTTGAGGACTTTTACCATACAGGGTGATCCACATGAAGTGTGACGCAACAAAAAATATCATAATTTTGCAAGGGCTGAATAGAATGAGAAGCTTTTGTCCTCACTTATTAGCGAATAGAATTCTGTATGGGGACTTTCAACTAGCTTTTAAGATATTTGTTCCTGATTAAAAAAACGTTTTTTCCCCTCCAAACCTCTTTGAAATCTTCGATTTGCGCGCGATGGATTCTGCTCCCAAACTCTCACTAGAATTCTTTTCGGCAAATTAAACGACATAGGTTTTGAAGGGCAGACTTTTTTCTTTCAGTAAGGTAGAAAAGAGTGTTTTTGGGTTCGAGGATGGGCGAGCTAAAGGCCAAACATCATTTTTTCGTAGTGTCCAAACGATGGATTTTACACTACTGCAATTTCTTGTTTTCGCTGTGGATTGGTGTGTTTAGTCATGCTAAAATTTCCAAAAGCGTCTATAGTAAAGTGCGGTTCATAATAATACGAACACCCCCAATTTTGGGAGCTTCTGCACTTTTTGGAAGAAACTCAAAAAGTCGTTGGTACCACGCGAAAGAGCACAGCCGAAAATGGTATGTGATTCATAAGAATGGAAATCGATGTCAGCCTTAGGAGCGTTTTTGCGCCTAATGCGAATTTTTAGCGGTTGATAATTAAACGAACACCTCAAAACAAAGGTCCATTTTTCATTCGAGACTGCAATCTTTCGAGTCCAAATTTTTTGTGGAGTTACAGTAACGCAGTCTGAAATATGTGCTACACATTGGACCCAGTGCAGTTCAAAAAAAGAAGTGTTACTTTTTTCAAAGGCGCTTAGAGATATTGCCCTCTAAAAGCGTCTGTTTTACTGTGGTTTACGCATTTTAATTAGCTTCTACCAAGGCTATGAAATGAGATGTACTTTTTTGAAAGATATTTTGTTTAACGCTTGAAAATCTTTGCGTTTTTGTGCCGTTTTGCGACCAACTTCCATCCTTACCGTAGAGTTAGCGCAATTTCTAGCCTTCAAATCTCAGCTTCTAAAGCCCTAGAATAAGTAAGCACATAATATGTAGAAGTTCACAAGGCTGGTAGTTGACCAAAAAAAAATCAACAACGTTGAGCATTTGTTTTGGCCACGCAGGCATCATTTCACCAGAACCACTGTTTTTACTATTGCAATCACCCCCTTATCTAGTTTTCTGCTCCGTAGCTCAAGACTAATTCTGCAAAAAACCCAAAAACTTTGGCACGGATACATCATCATGCAAGCATTGCAGCTGCTTCATACCAAATGTTTGCGCGAGACGGAAGCTGAGTTTTAAGGCTCGAAATTGTGCTAACTCTACGGTAAGGATGGAACTTGGTCGAAAAACGGCACGAAAACGCAAAGATTTTCAAGCGTCAAACAAAATGTCTTTCAAAAAAGTACATCTCATCTCATAGCCTTGGTAGAAGCTAATTAAAATGCGTAAACCACAGTAAAACAGACGCCTTTAGAGGGCAATATCTCTAAGCGCCTTTGAAAAAAGTAACACTTCTCTTTTTGAACTGCACTGGGTCCAATGTGTAGCACATATTTCAGACTGCGTTACTGTAACTCCACAAAAAATTTGGACTCGAAAGATTGCAGTCTCGAATGAAAAATGGACCTTTGTTTTGAGGTGTTCGTTTAATTATCAACCGCTAAAAATTCGCATTAGGCGCAAAAACGCTCCTAAGACTAACATCGATTTCCATTCTTATGAATCACATACCATTTTCGGCTGTGCTCTTTCGCGTGGTACCAACGCTTTTCCAGTTTTTTCCAAAAAATCCAAAAACCTCAAAATTTGGAGTGTTCGTATAATTATGAACCGCACTTTATCAGGTCGTCCCGAAAATTCTTTCACACCAAATACAAAAATTCATAATTTGTCGAATTCTCAATGAATCTGCAAGATCTCAATTTTGTATAAGAGAGGAACTCGTGTTCTTTGCACCTATACTTGAACTGTTCTCCAATTTATACAAATGGAGGAGATAGAATCTCAAAACCAAAATCACTCGAAATTTGAATTTTTCGTGTAAGGTCATAAAATCGGAAACTTGCAACAAAATCGGAGCATTCGGTATTGTAGGTTCTTTCACCAGCTCTTTTCAACTATGCAAAGTTTGCGCCGATTGAGAGTCTCTATGAAAAGTTACGGTTTTCGGCAAGCAATGCAAAAGGGCGAATTTGGTTTATTTTGGGTTTTCAGGGGAATCATGACTTTTTAGAGAGACACTCCTTCGGAGCAAACTTGCACTGTTAGAAAGAGTGGATAAAAGAACCTACAATATCGACTGCTCCGATTTTTGTTGCAAGTTTCCGATTTTTTATGAACCTACACCAAATTTTGAGTGATTTTGGTTTTGAGCTTCTATCTCCTTCATCTTACACATTAACGAATATACTTGGGTAATTCGAAAATTTTTCATCGAATGAATGAATATCGAATAAATTCGAAAAGGAAAAATTTCGAATAAACGAATATCGAATAAATTCGAGGTTCAAAAATTCTCAAATGAATGAATATCGAATACTAGCCGCTCACTGCCGTTACGCGGCAGGTGCGGCTGGCACTCGGCAGCTTCGCTGCCTCGTACACTTTTCATAACTGGGTCCTGGAAAACTTTTTGTGCACTTACCATCACGCATACACGGTGATTCTAGGTTATGGATTCCGCAAGGTCGGTGCATCATCATTGTCGTAACAATATCGGGCAGAACTGGGTCCACAGAGGGGTCCGAAATGAAGCGCTGATGAGGCGATCGACGTCGGCTGCTGTGCGAGGTTTCAAGTCGTTATCCAAGATAAGAAGGAGTGCGTGTGTGGCAATCCTCGCTTCTGCCACTCGAAGACTGATACGTAACTTACGACGCGGCCGAAGGCGTGTTTTGTGAGAAGTAGCTCCATGAGGGTGGCGAACTTGCACTTGTAAACTCTCGCAATCATGTCAGGACGGTCGGTGGCAGTCTGTCCTGGCTGAAGGCTCTCTTCAATTTCCCGCCATTTGGGGTTACATGTAAACGTTATAAAGAAGTCCGGCTTGCCATATTTTGCAATGGTCATGGCTTCCTGGCAGTCTTGTAACATAGAGCGCGGACTTCCTTTAATCCTGGCTGGCAGGATGATTCGCTTGCCCGGTGGTCCATTGCTACCATAGTCAGAGGAGATGAAGTCGAGTATCGACTGGTACGTATCCGCTCGAAGGTCGGCTTGATGAGTGCGGATGTAGTTGAAGCGGTTCTGCTCCGTCATAACCCAAGCGTCGGCAATGAACTGCTGCGTAAATGGGCCTCCGTGATGAATCGGATTGAAGCCAGGCCTGACTTGAAGCAAGTAGAAGTAGTATTCCCATTAAGATATGCGGGAGCGTCGACGGGCGCGATCCCTCTTCTTCAGATCCGGGCTCCACCCAAAATTTCTCCTTGGAAAAAATACCGGTAGCAGAGGGATCGGCAAGAATGGAAATGTTTGAAATCTTCTGAACTGCGTTGACATACGGATGTACGGCAAATTCGCGATGAGCGGGAACGTCACCGTCTTCGCCGACGTAAACAACGGCCTCCTCGTCAGATGTAGGGGCGTTATAACGACGACGGTCAAGGGAACAGTCCACTTCGAAAACAATACAAACTTGCTCAGCACTGCGGTTCTCCCTCGATGCGGCAGCTTCTTCTTACCTAAGCACCTCATCCATCATCTTGAAGGATCGAGCGAAGGAATTAACACGGTGTATTAGTGCACTTAACGATCGCATCACGTCGGAATTACATTTCGAGTTCGCAGGGTGACCGAGACGCTCCGCGGCTATTTGTGCCGTGTCCAGAATGTACAGCTGGCAGTACGATCGCGGCGCCCTAGGGGCGAGATGAAGAGGACCGGAGTAGTCGTAGATTTGGCCGTGGATTTTAAAGACCCAGGAACCCTGACCTGAAGGCAAGTCAACTTTGGCACCCATTGATGCTCATCGCCAACGCAGAATTGAATTGGCGTGCTTTGCAGTGGAAATTTTGGGAAGGGTCGTTGTTGCCAATGAAGAACTGTTGCAACTCTGTAGAAAAATTGGCGAACTTGTCTTCGATAATAATGTTGCCAAAGTTGCAGCACACATTAATCTTATCACAGCCATTAAGGACTTTAGCACGAAAAAATGCGGCGCTACAATGGAGGCAAATAACATCAAACTTGTCGAGGTGATGCTCAGTGACGGAAGGCACATCAGCAGGTAAGGGTTGTTCATGATATCGTTCACGCATAAAGCTAAGACGTCCATCTCGTGCAGCCCGTGTCTCATGGTTACGGCGAAGACGGCTACGCAAAGCTTCAAAAGTACGTCTTGCAGCAGTACGGCTCGGGTTCTCTGTGCGAAGTGCATTTGCGACTGGTGTGTGGAAATGGTCTCCTCGGATCGTCCTTGTCATGTGCCCGCTTCGTCTACTGAACGCATTTTTAAAAGTGTTTGTGCTGGCGACAATGCAGGTAACTTACGTGCATCGGGGTAAGTTCTTCTTGGGTCTCTTGTGCTTCCTGGCTATGGTGAAGACGGTTATGTGCAGCTGCGGAGCTCCACCTTGCGCCACGTGCTCGACTTCTCTGCGCAATGTGCATCTGCGAGATGGGAGTGGAGGTAGGTGCCGGTTCAAACATTACTTGTTGCCGCGAGTCAAGCGTAGAGATCGTTTGTGCTGTGTTCTCGTCGATTGGCTCGTATCCTCGTTGGCCAACTCGTTCTGGGCTCGCACCATGCCTGGATTAATCCAGTGTCTCCTGAAGGTGTTCGCTGAGCTGTGGTTCCTGTTGCCGTCGACGAAGATGACGCTCACGCGTTGAGGCAAGACGCCGTTCTCGTTCCTCTGGTGTTTCTCGGCTACGACGAAGGCGGCTGCGCATAGCTTCAGAAGTGCGCCTTGCTGCGGTACGGGCTCGGGTTCTCTGGGCGATATGCATCTGCGACTGAGGTGTGGAGGGGGACGGTCCATTGCTGGAGGGGGTCAATGTCGGCGCCATGGTCTCGGAAGTAACATGGTCGAAGGAGGTACGACCGATGAAGGCATGGTATGAATGAACCGTAAGGCAGGGATAGGGTATTTTGATTTGTTGGTCATATTCGATCTCGTGGATGAATCATTTTAATTTTGTTGATGAGCTAATCAGTTCGACGAAACCCGTTGCGAAAGGTCAACGCATAGTTGGATATCAGCTAGCCTCCAGAATGTGGCATAGAAAAAATCAAAAGGTAAAAAAGTTTAGTGGTCAAAGTTGTAGATATTTTGTTCAAATTAACCATGCTCAGTCATCCCTTCCTGCCAGTTTTCAGCTCAACAAAGATTAGAACATGAAAAAATCGATAAATCGATAGCGCCACTGAGTGATTTTTTGCGAAAAAGCTTAGTGACACCCGCCCCACCCCGATCTTCATGTGTGCAAAGTTTCGTTTGAATTCAATGAAGTTTTCTAACATTTTAGGCCGGTCATAACGAACTTGCTAAGCAAAAAACGCAAAAAATCGATAAATTGATAGCGCCACTCGGTGATTTTCGGTGAAAAAGCTTAGTGACATCCGCCCTACCCCGAACTTCATGTGTGCAAAGTTTCATCCGAATTCTTCGATTCTTTGTACCGTTTCAGGCCGGTCATAAAAAAATGCTTATCCAAATATTATATAAGTATTGATATTCCAACACTGGAGTCGAATTTCGAATAAATATTATAATGATTTATCGAATAACTAGAGCAGTCATATCTCAAACTTCCTGACATATCTGGCAGAAGCCGATCCATTCATAATCAGCACCCTAGTATCCCCTATACCAACTCCAACTTCAATTCTCCGAAAATCGCTGAAATCGATAAAACAAATTTTAGTAATACGTTTCGGACCGCGAAATCGGCGCGGCGAAAAAGAGGGTATTTTCAGCCGTTAGCCAACAAAGGGACCTCAATTCGTATACCGTGTGCTACATCTACAATCAGCATGTCGGATAAGACTCATACCCAAAGTTCTGAGTGAATTCGAAGTCTTTGAATTTTGTCGCCTGAGAAGGACTTCTGTGCTTTCCTGAAAGATAGGAACAAGAACTCAGTTTCTAATTGTTTCCAAAAGTATCTATGTTGTATACGATACGTATCATTAATGGAACTATGTTTTTTCTCTTTGAGTTCAAAGCAAAGAAAAGTTGCATGCCGCACGCGTCGTTCGCGTTGCCGCACTTCGATGCAGCTGATGGTCGATTTGTCCTGGTATCTTCTGAACAAACATCGGCGGCACAGCCTTACAAAGTCTTTTGAAAAGGAGGAGCTTAGGCTTGACTTGATAATCTTGGACAATAAGAGAACCTCCTGCAAACACTAAAAAGTTCCTTGAAAGGCGCACCATGTGCAGCACCGGTCCGAAACGTGTTAATCAGCATCCTCATTTACCCCCCCCCCCCCCCTGTACCAACTCCCAACCTCGTGGCTCAAGATTTTCCAAAATTCAACAAAATCGATAAATATTAGGTGGGTCACAAAGTTCGTTCGCCAGATTTTTGAAAAACCATAACTTTCCTCCTTTTTGGTGGAATCTCTTAATTTTAATTCTATTTGAAAGCGGAAACCTTTCTCTTTACAGCTGTGCCTTTGAAAAATGGTCTGAGAAAGTTTGAGAGTTAGAAGCAGTTGAATGAAATCAGTCAACAACGGCACTTTTCAAGCTGGATCACGAATAATTCTGGAAGTGTTTTTATTCGATAGAGAAAATTATGCTCCTTACTATAGCACCTTTTCCACGGATTAAAACGGAAAAGATCCAGAGTTATAAGCAAATAAAGAGAATTACTTCAATTTTGCAATTTTTGAGCATGTCCAAAATGGCCCAAAGACGTCACAAAAAAGGCGAGAAAGCTATGAACATGTGTTTGTGACCTTCTCTTTCTAGCTGTGCGAAAATAGTAAGAATCGAGTGCGATTGTAATTTTCGTGAAAAACAGAGGCCCAAAAATCCGGAAATATTACGAAAATTGAAATTGCTCTCGATTGGTACGATTTTCACTCACCTAGAAAGAAAAGGTCACAAAACCCATGTTCATAGCTTTTCCGCCTATTTTGTGACGTTTTTGGGCTATTTTGAGCATGCTCAAAAATTGCAAAATTGATTAATTCTCTTTCTTTGCTTATAACTCTGGATCTTTTCCGTTTTAATCCGTGGAAAAAGTACTACAGTAAAGAGCATAATTTTCTCTATCGAATAAAAACAATTCCAGAATTTTTCATGATCCAGCACGAAAAGTGCCGATCTTGACTGATTTCATTCAACTGCTTCTAACTCTCAAACTTTCTCAGACTATTTCATATCAGAGGCGCTGCTGTAAAGAGAAAGGTTTCCTCTTTCAAAAAGAATTAAAATTAAGAGACACCGGGAACAAAGCAAGTTATGATTTTTTGAAAATCTGGCGAACGAACTTTGTGACCCACCTAATATATCTTTATCCATAATCAGCACCCTTACTTACCGCCTTGTACCAACTCCCAGCCCCGCAACAACGGTGGCCGCATATGTACTTAAATGCCACAAATGCTACGATACATTGCCTGTTCACTGTGTGGTATAAGCTAGTCGTGGACGAAGGCATTGGTTTATTCCGTAAAGCAAGCACGATTGTCCCTAGCCCTGTGCATATGCAAGCATTTCAGTGGCGACGTGGTTTGGTCATGTCCAAATAGTCATGTCCAAAACTTATTCTAAAAGTACAGAATGCAGGGCATTTATCATTTTGGTAGTTGTACACGTTAAACATTTGCGGTAAGCTGGCGTTACGTTTGAAGACACTTCGTAACTGGCAAATCGCGTACAGCGATCTAAACCGTCTAATCCTCCACTACAACTGCGGTGTCCTTTACTGAAAATACATTAATTCGCAAAAAACTCTAAGGTAACGAATAGAGGCAGTTGTGCAATATAACTTATGCGAGCAAGAGTGCTCACTAGTGTGGGCTTTGCGTACCACAAGCATGAGCAATCCAAAGAAAAAAAAAACAGGCATTTCAAAACACTTTCAATATATGAACCTGGAGCATGAGCTTGAATTTGATAGCTTCTTTACTGATTTGCCGCCAATAGCAGTGCGAAAGATCTCATTGATCGAAAAAGCATCAATTAAAATCCACATATGATTTTTTTACTGTCAAGCAGTCGGAAGAATGCGAACCCCCCCCCCCCCCCAACAGTTTAAAGGTCATAATGGTTGCAAAATATCCATTATCGAGTTTTGCGAAAAAGAAAAATGCGGACGTAGTGAGCTTGATAATCACCAGTTGGCTCTTCAACGAAGTCGAATAATTTGAATACGGAGTTCATTCGAATACAAATTCGAATAAACATTCGAATAAAACATTCGAATAAAATCTATTCGAAACCCCGTTTTTTAATTATTCGAGTTTTCGAATGATATTCGAATCCTCGTTTTTTGATTATTCGAGTTTTCCAGTTTTATTCGAAACCCTGTTTTTTGATTATTCGAGTTTCGCATCTTATTCGAAACCCCGTCTACTCAATTATTCGAGTTTCGAATATTATTCGAAAATGGAAAAACTCCGTATATCGAATTTCGAATACGAATATATTCGAATGTTTTATTCGAATGATCGGATTTCTATTCGATTCGGACCCAAGTATATTAACGAACCGTTCAGGGACATAAGCAAAGAGCATGAGATTTCTCTTATATAAAATTTAGACCTTGCAAATTCGTTGAGAATTCAACCAGTTATGAATTTTTGAATTTGGTGAGAAAGAACTTTTGGGACGACCTAATATTAGGTTGCTACATAACTCTTCTTACACTTTACTTCTTACGGCGGTCAGTCATGCACCTCATATTCTTTACAGGGCTCCAGGGCACCATTCGATAGGGAAAAGCAAGCTCTACAAGAAGGTATGCAAAATTTCGCACCAACTTCGACCCACTATAAGTTTGCACC